AAAATTAAAAAATTAAATAAAATAAAATAAGTTCTTAAAAATTAAACGAAATTAAAAGTATTCCATTTTTAAGAAAGTAACATCAAAACATTAAATTGAGAAACAAAAAAATTATATTAAAAAGAAAAAATACATATAATAAGAGTCAAAAATTAAACGAAATTAAAATAATATATCTTGCTCTTTTCAAAACAAAACAATCTATTTAAAATGAAAAGAAAATTAATTACATAAAGAAAAAAATTTGTATAAAAACAAGTAATTTTTAAGCAAAAAACAAAACCGACTTCAATTCTCATATAAAAATTTGAGATTATAGTTAATATCTTCAAGATCCAATTATCGGATTTAAACCAAATTAGAATGGGACCACCAGTGAGGTAACACCTTTCCCTTAAAAAAAGAATTATAGAAATCGATTAACGTTGCACCACGTTATGCGGTAACATACATAAAAAGAAATATATAAACAGTAAACGAGAAGGAGGATATCGAAAACCACAAATATAAAATTTCAGTACGCCCAATTTTTTTCCATTTCAATTCATTTCAAATTTTCAATAACTTTACTTCTAACTTAACGCTTAAACAATTAAAAAAAGTGTACAGTAGTTTACAAGGATATCCAAACGTAGTTTCGAAATATATTCTTAAGGAAATATTCATACGAAAATTGAGCCAAAACCATATAAATACGATACTATCGACGATATCGATATATCGAATACTATCGATGATCTGACTATGGATAGTTTTGCAACTTTATACTGCATACAAATACTCGTAGTTGAGCTGTTTTTGCATTCGTTATTTTAAATATTTTTTTTTTGATTTTACGGATGTTGGCTTTTGCAAGAAAGGGTAGCCCCGAGGCGATTTTCTAATTACAAATCAACAGCATGCATTTTGAGGGGGAAATGCAGCAAAGCAGGAAATGGAATGTGCGAACACTTGGGATGCTCATAAAAGACTTATTTGCATGAAAACTCAATTAACTCCTCGATCAATCATCAGAGAAATGACTTACAATAATAATTTTCTTTTTTGTGTGGTTTTGTGATTGAAACTTCATTTTTTGTAATTGAAAAGTGTTTTTATTTGTTATATTATTTAGATTATTATATTTACTCCAAATCGGTCATTTAGCCCTCTATTCATACTCAATTGCCTTTTGCATACTTGCCTCGATCACAAACCACACCAAACAACTTCCTCTTCCGTTCTATAACCGGTCATTCATAAAAGTAATAGTATCTATGCAGCTACAATCGCAATGTTCTTGCATTTATGCGCATAAATTAATGAAGGCTGACAGAAATGATGTAGCAATAACTAAACGATCAACTATTTAGTATTTAGAACTACCTTACCTCTTAGCTTCCTTTGCTACTTAGAAGCTAAAGATAAGAAAACCGGCAGCTTGTAGCCACTTTCTGTTTGACTCACTCATAAATAATTGAGTGAGCGAGTAAGTAAATAGTATTAGAACAGAACGTGATTTTTTTTTTTTATAAATAGAGCAAATAAGTATCAAATATTTAGGTTAGTAATTTATGCAGGAAAATATTCCAAAATTAGTAGCTATAGTATACCCATTTCTTTCGTCCTCTCCGATTGATGATGATCAATATACATAACCAGAGTGGTAAAAAAATAATAGGGTCCCATGGTCAATTCGAAATGGAGATTTGCAGCATCGAATGTGGATCGAGTTTGTGATTTAGAAAAAAAACTAGTGAACCCGCATGGCGTTAAACGCCCAAAATTGAATTTTAAAAACTTAAAAAATATTCCAAATGTTAGTCAAAGTTATAAGAGACCCGAGTGGCACATTTCATCAAAACCGTGCAGCCGTTTCTGAGCGAAGGGCAGTCTCGCATAGTTCATTTTATTATTTTTATCAAATTTCAAATCACCCTTTACCAATGAAAAAAGTTCTTAACTAAAAAAATAAAACTTTATCATACATCTACAGGCTAAGGCTTCTAATTTGACTTCTCATTTTTGAAATTCCTTTTCGAAAGTATTCTCAAATTAAAATGTTCTTAAATAATTTTCGTCTGATATTATGATACACATGCATTTCAATAAACTGATCAACTAATTCGAATTTTATTGTTCGAACAAATGGCAACCCCCGTAAATAAAGGTCAGGAATAAATCCCTTACAAACCCATTTCAATTTATATCCATCTTTTAATAATTCATCTAACTTACTGAATAATTTGAATTTAACTTTTTAAACACGTGGCAACTCTCCTGAAACATTCGAAATGTGTTTAAAAATTTACCTATGAAAAATGCAGAGCTGCTTTAAAGGACAGTTTAAGAAATAAAGGACAAAAGGCGTCCATTATTTTGAAAAAAATTATAAAGGACAGGGGGTTAAAATGAAGGACTGTCCTTTAAAATAAAGGACGGATGGTCACTGATATTATGTGTGATGTTAATTCTGGATCTTAACTAGACAAAGTGCTTCCCCATTTCAAAGTTATAAACGCCAACTTTGGCTTGTGTTTGTTCACAGCTAGACCAATCTCTTTTCCCCCTTTCTATGCTGCAGAATGCGGTGCTAATGGCAATCTTTCTGAGACCGGCGATGCCAATGACAAGTCCACTTTTAAGAGCAGCCTCCAGATTCGGTAGAAGCTAAACTCCACTGAAAACTGGAACAGGCTTGAACTCATGTAGGTATCGGGAGACGTTGGTGTTTAAGGCGATGAATTGGCAGCTTAACTGGTGAGCTGCTATTGTTTGGATGGTACTAGTTGCATAGCAATTAAGGATGAACCAGAGATATTCACTTACGGAGAGGTTTTACTTAGACCACCACATTTCTTTCTGAAATTTGACCAACTTCTACTTAGAAAAATTCATTTCATTTTTGTTTCTGATAGAATAAAAGGCGCAAAAGTTGAAGTTGAACATGTTATAAATACCTTACGATTTTTTTTAAACTTTTATAAGCCTCTCTTAATTTCAAATTTTATTCCTAACTACGTAGCCAACCGAATACGAAAGCAGCACTGCTAGATGAAAATATAATATAATGTATTTATAAGAAAAAAGCTCTTAGAAAGAAAAAAAAACAAATAATAAAAAAACTTAAAAAATTCAATAAATTACACCCACACAGAAATCGACAGGTAGACCGTTGTATTAAAAATACCGTTGATTGCGAAGCCAACCAGTTATAGTTACGGCTAAAATACCAAAAACAGCATAGCATGCCAACGTACATAAGTATGTGTGTTCGAGCACAAATATTTCTACCAAAAGTACGCAAAAGGTTGGGTTAGCACTAACTTGGCAGGTTTCAAGTGTAGCTTTGCACAAACATATAGATATGTGTTGTGTGTACAATACGAATTGCTGAAACAAGTATTTTATTCATCTCATTTCCTTCCTAATTTATTTTTTATTTTTTCCACAAATGTTTATATAAAAAAAAATATTTTTGCCTTGGTAACTAGTTGCAGCATCATGCTTGCGCTAATATTTTGTTGCCTTTTTCTATGGCCTATTAGACGTAGCCTTTTCTTCTTCATCCTCTTCGACGACTACCAAATTTTTGTAAATCTTATTTTGTTAGTTCACCAACTCTAACTGCAACTCCAGCCATACTTTTCGGCTGCACAGCTCCAATCACCTCGAACGAACTGCATAGCATCTCGTCTAATGCCAATTTTCCGCTTAAAGCCGGCTAAATAAGCTGCTTTTCAAGTCGTCTACTCTTCTCGGCTTCATTCGCTATATACACACACACACACACATACAAATTCATTGGTTTATCTTAGGGTGGTCCAAAAACAGTAAAGTCGGAATTGTAATGCTCTCACCCCCAGGATTTTTCTATATCGAAAAAAAGTAAAACCCTATTTTTTTATTTTGAAATCAAAAAAATATTTAGCGTTTGCTCAAAGCGCTAAAGCATTCCATGAATTTTTATATGGGGAAAAAACAAGTTTTCGTAGAAATGGAAGAGAATTCTTCTCTGGTTCTCTTCAGGAGACTTTCAGTAGTAATACCCAATTATTTATTTAACTATTTTTTAATACTAACGATTTTTATTGGTCTTCCCATTGAATTTTTTGGGATTTTTGTGGGTATTTGGCGGCCCTTTAAATTATAGTTTCGTTGAAAACATAGTTAAATAAACAATTGGGTATTATTACTGGGAATCTCCTGCAGATAAGCAGAGTTTTCCGGTAGAAAGGTATTGATTTTTAAGAATTATATACCATTTCTACGAAAAGTTGGTTTTTCCCCATACAAAATACATGGAAAATATTGGGCGCTTTGAGCGACATCTAAATATTTTTTGATTTCAAAATAAAAAAACAGGGTTATATTTTTTTTGGTATAGAACAGTCCTGGGGGCATAAAAATTCCGAGTTTACTTTTTCCCCACATGCATTTTTGGACCACCCTAATGCATATAGTACATTTCAATAACAATCGAAAACTGGAAACTAAATTTTACAGGTGACCGCATACCAGACATACCAACCAAATCAAATAGGCCAAAGGCGCCTTTACGCTGGCGAATAATTGCCTGAAGGCTCTGAGGCATCAGGTGTTGGAGTGCATACGTTGATAGAAATGCATGGCAGTATATGTATGTTCATACATACATATATATGTACATAAGTTTACAATTTTATAGCATCTCTACTTTAGTGCTATGCAATTTTTGGTGTTGCTGCTATTTTTACTTCTCTATGGGGAAACCGTTTGTGCCATTACTTTTATGATCCTAGTGAAACCTTACTATGAAGCGGCGTTTTTTGTTGTATTGGAACTTTGAAGATAATAAACACAAATAAATTATACTACCAATTGCTATGCTGTGAATGGTTTTTATGAACTTTCGCTTCGGTTTAACACTTGTGTTAATTTCACTTTTTATGCTTCGTTAGATAAATGTTGATGAATGTTGTTGAATCAAAAGCTGCGGATGTGAGACGGAACTTAGATATTTGTCTTCGTAATATCCACTAATGACAATCATTTCATCAATAATCAGTAATAATTCAGAAACGCCTGAAAGAAAGCAAACCACTGTAGGAAGAGCGGGAAAGGAGGGTGACCGTGGTAGTGATATTGTGAGAAGTGTAGAGTCCTAGATATTGCCACCTTAGCATGGAAATTGGCTTCCAGACAGAGTAAAAGTAATCAGTAACTATCAAGTCTTGCGCCTTGATGGATAATCTAGCTTTAAAGTGGAATTATTCACTCATTAGTTAATGTCATAAATTTCTACCTTTATAAAATTATTCTTTAAGACGTTTGAGAATTGCATACGTCTGTCAAGTTTAAAAGTGATACATAACATGTTTCTTATTCACCAAATATTGTATACTTTTAGGCACATGAAATATGGTGAGTAATCAGTGTGATCAGTAAGGACTTGTTGCTAGTCTGTACATTTTTTAAACTGTTTCAGTACAGCAGGACTTAGTCAGAATTTAGTGGGAAAGATATTATGTAGTTATTATAAATGTGCGTACGGCAACGACTTTTGGCGAAACCAAAAAGACAAAAGTCTCAGAAATAATGAGTTCAGTTGTCCAATTGGAGCTAAGAGCCATACAATTTCGAACTGTCAACCAAATAGAAATTCCATAACTTTAGTGAGCTGACCAAAGGGCCAGATAATTAGTTTGTTTCAGTACTCCGGGATTTAGTCAGAAATAGTAAGAAATCGTTCTCGTCTCACTAAATCCTGGATTACTGGAAGAGACTAATTGATAAAGCCCACTTCAGCTGAAACTTCAGATCGCTGGAGGTCCGGCTTGATGATATTGAGGAGAGTCTAAAAAAAATGTTATTCAAGAATCACTTTTTGTCAAACTTATTTAGGTTACAACCCAGTTGGAGCCTTGTGCCATCTCTAGTGAACTTTTTCGTTCTCGATGTATTTATTTAAGAGCAAGTACCGTGACATACTGGTTAAATGCAGTTAGTAGGAATAGTTAGTTCTGAAATCTGCAATAGTAAGTGACATCGAATGCTTTGAAACTCTATTACTGTTTTAGCTAAACAATTATCGTGACAAAATAAAGCGTAGCTTGGAATTTGTCCAAAGACTTCATGGCAGATATTAGAATAATTTTAATGCATTTTTATTCGAGTTTAGTCTCATATTTATTTAATTGTCTATTATTTATATCAAAACTAGTACTTATTTGCATAACTCCATAAAAGTTAACTGCAAAATCGTGTAACCAAACATTCTAGGGCGCATGCGCACGAAACTAAGGCACATAACTCTTGACAAACAGCCGCACTGGATATTTTTGCAAATTTTATTTGCCATACCAAAGAAAAACAATGCAAAGCTTACAAACAAACAAGCTTTGTGCCAACACAGAATTTAACATTATGAACAGTCAAAGACACAGAAATAGTAGCTGATGGAAGTGGTAGAAGTGCAGCATGCCAGCAAGCAAAAACTGTGAATTGGCTACTGCTAAAACTGCAAGCACCACCACCACTACCGCCACCGCTGCGCCGCCGCTGCATCATGAAAAAGTATGTCAGACAATCACTTTGCCGTCGTCAACTTGAGCGCATGCGCTTCGCGTCTAAAATGCCCACCTTAGAGGTGCTATACAGGAATGTGGCTTTGAGGCACACACAAACATTTGTTTCCTGCACACTGGAGCGTATTTGGCGTTGAGTGGCGATTTTATGTTGGTGCAGGTTCCAACCGCTTGTCTCGTTGTCATTAACCGCAATTCTTGTACAACCATTGACATTACAAACTTACATATATACTTACATACAAACAGATAGTGCTAAAAATACGCCGTAAATGCGAGTGTAAAAGCGGCTGTGATTATAACAACACAGATACCAAAGTGCTACCTGTAAATTGCACAAAGCAGTAAATATGAAGCTTGCGCTTTTTTTTCGTTTCTTAAGCGCTGTGGTCATACGCAGGTTCGCTGCTGCAGTCTTTTGTTGCTGGGTCAAATTTCATGCGGTGACCGATATCGATTGAAGGAAATGGGGAGAAAATAAGTAAATAAGTAATAGGGGAAGTAAACAAAATGCGTCTTTGATTTAAAGTGCTTTATTTTTTTAATTTTGCTCAAAGCTACTAAGCTAAGGATATTTTATTTATAAGCCTGTGAAACTCTTCACTTTTAGGAGAGCACTGACCTCCCTGACTACCTCAGCTCTTTTAATTGACAATCTAGGTTTTCTGGAGTAGGCCAATAGCGAAGCTCCGTTCATACTACTGCTGGGCGGTGGACAGCCTGTGTTCCTGACGCAGGCGTCGAGACTGATGAAGTTGCAGTTTCCTGCTGCCTAGTGGCAATGTGCGCAGATCCTTGTTGGTCCCCTGTCGACCATTCGGTGTCGAAAGTAGTACCAGCCTACATAGGTCTTAGCTGCTATTATGCTCCAGTTCGTTGCCGTGCCGCGATGTACACTCAACGGTCATTTTGGACCACAGTAGAGGGTTTGAGTTATCATCAACTAGGCGACTCCCGAGATTGATATGAGCTGATGCCGGCGGCTTTGTTGCTAGAATGGCGCTAGCCTAGGACTTCTTCTGCTGAGGTTAAAGTCACAACTTTGGTCTGCAGTAGCTTTAAGTGGGCGAGTCTGTAAGCCATCGATGGAAGGTCGATGGGCTGCAGAATTTTATCGTTGCTTAGCGGGAGACTCTGGCAAAAGTAACTTCGGATTTCGTGCGTCCAGAAGAGTTCACTTCTCTCAACAAGGCTGACGTCCAGACCAGACCCCTTTCCTTAATACTTTGATATTTTTTTTATCCACGTCGCTGTTTGAGAGTTCAAGTAGTCAACGAGAAGTCCCACGACAGTCGGATCTACGTAACCGGAACGATCCAGATTTATATCTGGCCAAGGACTGGCACTCCAGCAACACTCCCCAAAAAGTATGTGGGTGATTTGTATGCTGTTACAACAACAAAAAAAGTCTTCTAGCTCAGCTTTTCGTTGGTGCCACCAAATTCTCAATCATGATGACGATTATCTCCTTCTGCAGCAGTATCACTTGCTCTGCTCATGGTCGATGAGCAGAGCCATGTGAATCAGTTGATCACTCGTCAGTCTGTAGGATATCTTTCAGCAAATGGTTAAGATCAGATTCTCAGCTGGAATTGTAGTCAGAATTTTCTCACCGCTGAGCTGTAAACTCTGGTGGAAGTAAACTCGGATCGCGTGACCTTGGTGGAACTCACTTTTTTCCTCTAGGAGGATGTTCAGGCGAAGTGAAGCCAAGGCTCCGTCCACACTTGAGCTACATTATTTGGGAGTTGGTTTTTATTCGTCGTTTTAGAGCTTGAGCAGACGACAACAGGTCATCCAGCTAGAGACAAGCATTTTTCGAATGTCAACCCCCAAACACAAAATCGTGATATTTATCCTCGCCTTCTCGAATTCATTTCGACTCCTTTATGGCTGTAGAAATCTGTTTGTAAATTTTGATAGCCTCTTCCCTAGGCTTGTCCCGGTCTAGGGCGCTTGCAATTTCTCCCCTCTAATTTGATTCCATAAACATGTGTGCCGATTTCTGTTAACCCTGAAGCTTCAGAGAAAAGACGAAGGGTGTCAAGGATCCTCGCACTAGTAGTGTGTGGTTCCGAGTATTTAAGAGTTAGTTCAAAGGGAACCGGATATATAGTCCGGTAGTTTCCACGTTAGTCGGGTAAACATAACCACAAGGATCACTCACCAAAATCTCTTTGGGGAATTTGTATGCTGTTACAACAACAACCAACGGTTTCGGGTTATGCAAAAGTGGTAACGGAAATAGGCCCTATCGAAATAGCCAAACAAAAATGCATACTTTCTATGACGTTTTTGATATAGTTAAAGCAATTTTTTCAATGCACCCAATGGCTTCGTCAGACGAGGCTGAGCGCTGCCCACTGACTGCATTAACTGCCGGAAATATTTCCGTTAGGCGGGCTCGGTTTAGTAGTAATAATTTCGGGGCATCGTCAAGCTCAGCTGAAGTTTTTTCTTGTTTTATTTGTTATAACTATTACTCATTTTAAAAATATTATAAAGTACTAAATTTTTCTCTTATAAGATTTGTATGTATGTGTAGTTAGTATTATGTAGTTTTAAAATATACCTCCATATATATATATACGAGTAGATATTTCTAGAATCAAACTCGAAATTTTCTAAAGCTCAGTTCTTTTCTTTTGCAGCACCACCACGGGCTTAGTAAAAACTTCACTACATTTGATCAACAGCCGCTGAAGTCAAGCTCAACTTAGCCAATGCACAAACCCCTGCTGAAAGCGCAAATAATCAACAATTTAATGAAGCAAATTCACCACGACTGCTTAAAGCCGCACAACACCAACCCAACACAAATTCAGCAACAGAAAA